TGTCATACGTGGTGCTGAATGCACACAGATAGAAACACACACATCGTCTCCTGACTATCGTGATGCTTTTCCACTGAGGTGAATTCAACGCTGGGACGTGACGGTGACAGGTAGGAAAAGATTTTGAATATGTGTATGTTGTGTGTTTCAGCTTATATGTAAAATGTGTATTAACCAAAGAATTTTACCTGAAGTTAAAAGTTTTCGCTCACTGGCTACATTTGTGTTTTTCATTCCTGCGCAGCTTCAGGTTTTGTCTTCAGCTTTTTTTAGCTTGATGTTTTTTCACTGATTACAGTTCATTTTAGTTTGTAAACACTTAAAGAAAGCCTGGGGGGACAAGTCAAATGCAAAAGATGTAAACACTGAAAAGAAAAGCTGCTGTTCATCAGCCGACTGAAAATGTCATGTTGGAGCATCTTTGAAAGCATCAGCAGGGATTGTTTTCAACGACCTGAGTTTCCATGAATATTTACTTTCTTGTATCTGTTTGTATAGTTTTAATACATTTTCTGAGTGTTGTTGACAAACCAGGATTAATGCTACGTATTTTCAAAACTACATTTAAATAACTTTTTTTGCTGCTTTCCTCATCTCAAACATTTCCAGCAAAATGTCTTTGTCAGTGATGTTTCTTGCTGGTCAGATGACCATGTTTTCTTTGTTGCTGTTGTATAAAATGGTTCTTAAAGCAAATTTGTACAAATGAAAATAAAGAACTCACTTCTCTTACTGATTTTAACCCTGTTTTTTTAGGTTAAATCATAACATTTTAGTAAAGCACTGGCCCCAGTCCAGTTGATCCAGGCTGAGCAGCTTCACAGAAACCTAGCTGAGGTGTTACAGAGGTCCAGCTGGTTTGTGTTTCAGTCACAGCATGTGGACAAAAAATTCATGCTCTTCATCTGGACATTTCAGCTCCAACAGTTCTACCCATCCTAACATTAAGTCTACAACTCAGTCCTCTCAAGACAAATGTTTGGCAAGGTTTGGGCCTCTGTGTTGCTGAGAAACTCCCACTTTGACCTTATGACCAGTGCATCTTGTGTCTCTCATGTCATTTGCTACATTTATTGATATAACTTGTGTGATTGTATAGTCATTTAATCATGTTTACTGAAAGTTGTGTAACTGTATGTGTGTGTGTGTCTCCTCAGTGAAGTGTATCAGTCTGTACAGTAGCTTCCAGCTGCAGCAGTCACTTCAGTTTCTGTTCAGTCTGACTGAGGGAGGTTTTTGTATGACGCTTTTTCACTGTGAACAAACGCTGACTGTTCAACCAGTGTTGACTCTGACAGTAGTAAACTGCTGAATCTTCAGCCTGGACTCCACTGATGGTCAGAGTGAAGTCAGAGTTTGATCCACTGCCTGTAAAACGACTTGGAGTCCCTGATGCTCGAGTGTTAGCACTGAAAATGAGCAGTTTAGGAGTTTGTCCATTTCTCTGTTGGTACCAGGCAAAAAGGTGAATATTGTTCCAAACAGCAACATTCTGGCTGGTCTTACATCTGATGGTGATGGAGGCTCCCAGAGCAGAGCTGGCTGCTCCAGGCTGAGACACTGTGACCTGGCCTCTGGACTCTGAGGACACAGAGACAAACACATAAAGCAGCGTCGTGGTTTTGTCAGCTTCATTTCAGAGGGACAGATGTTCATAGAGGAGAGGAGCTGGATTCTCTGGACTTTACCTGTGAAGCAGCAGCAGAGGAGAGTCCAGATGAGGACGGAGATCAGAGTCATGTTTCTGATGAGGAGGATTTCTGTGGCTCCTGTTGTCATGAAGGACAGCTGTCAGTCCTCCAGGGTTCAACTCTCAGGACTATAAACTCTCCCAGAGCACTGGAGCATGGTGCTGCTGATGCAAAGTGGCTCTATGGAAATGCTCTGACTGACTCCAGCAGGGACTGGGATCCCTCTGGTCAGTCTGGGATCAGTGGATCAATCAGTTTGTCAGAGGATTGATTAGGAATGTGATCGTTGTCATTAGAGATGAATCTGGGCAGATTTCAGTGAAAGACGTTTCTTACAGTGTCCTCTGTCACAGATACTCGACCTGTTTTCCTACCAAAGATCAGTGTCACACTGTAATTCAAGGTGACTTATAAATT